GGAGGCGGAGCTTGCAGTAAGCTGAGATCACGCCACTGCACCCCAGCCTGGGCGACAGAGCGAGACTCCGTCTCAAAAAAAAAAAAAAAAGAGAGAAAAAGACAGAGACTCCATCTCAAACAACAACAACAAAAATCAACTAGGTGCAGTGGCACACATCTGTAGTCCCAGCTACTCAGGAGGCTGAGGTGGGAGGATCACTCAAGCCCCAGAAGTAGAGGCTGCAGTGAGCTATGATCATGCCACTGCACTCCAACCTGGGAGACAGAGCGAGACCCTGTCTCAGAGTAATAACAATAATAATTACAATACAGCATAAGATTTAGGAATCAGACTCATTGAGAACATACATTTGGGAGGCAATTAGTCCTGGATTCTGATCCTGGCTCTACCCCAGCCTTGGCTTTGTCATTGGGAAGTGGAGACAAGTCCTTGTCCCTCCTCTAGGTATCACAAGGAGTGACTGAATGACTGTCCCTCATGGTCCAGGCACAGCTCCCAGCCTACAGTAAATATTGATAAGGACTAGTTAGTAAGGGGTATTCGTTGCTATTGCCAGGTAACTACCAGGTTGAAAGGGCTCTGCACAGGGAATCTGAGAAGCTTCAGAACAGGACAGGTGGGAGTTCCCAGGTGGAAAAGGAAGCAGGGCATTCCAGGCCAAGGGAAGACCAGGGGCAGGAGAGCCAGGTGAACAGTGGGATGTGGCCGAGTTTCTGGAAGGCAAAAGGAAGAGGTGGGTCGGGCATGGTGACTGGGATTTCAGGTGTGAGTCACCGCGCTCGGCCTTAACTTCTTCCTTTCTGATTTGGATGCCTTTTATTTCTTTGTCCTGTCTAATTGCTCTGACAAGAGGAAGGCAAGGCGGCCAATAAGAGTCCATGATCAGGCCAGACATGATGGCTCATACCTGTAATCCCAGCACTTTGGGAGGCCGAGGCAGGCAGATCACCTGAGGTCAGGAGTTTGAGACAAGCCTGGCCAACATGGTGAAACCCTGTCTCTACTAAAAATACAAAAATTAGCCAGGTGTGGTGGCATACACCTGTAATCCCAGCTACTGGGGAGGCTGAGGCAGGAGAATCGCTTGAACCCAGGAGCCGGAGGTTATAGTGAGCCGAGATCGTGCCACTGCACTCTAGCCTGGGCGACAGAGCAAGACTCTGTCTCAAAAAATAAAAACAAAAAATAAAAAAAGGAAGAGGTGAGGTTGGGCGGCTGGGGACAAGCGGCAGGAATATCTATCATGTGATATCTCACATTCCTACTCCAAATGCAACTGGTGGTATCATTCCTTAAAAATTCTCCAGGGAAGGCACCATCGCTTCCCCCACAATTCCCTCCCACCGCCCCCTGCCTC